TATTGCAAATGTCGTATTTGTATCATGCCAATGAGTGTTGCTATTGTAGCCGTGCCGTAGATGAGCAGTTCACAGATGGTCACTTCGGTGACGGCCAGGGCGACAAAATCCGGTCGCGAGATCAACACGAAGAAGAGAATGAGCGAAATGATGGTCAGCACGAGTATGAGTATGCCAACGAAGAGACCCTTGTGGGCACGCGCACAATCCACCGAATAGTGATGGGGAGAGCGCTTCATCGGCGAACTGATGGTGTCCGGACGCTGTGGCGCTGGTGTTTGCGGACGCGAAATGCTGCGCCACATCACATACAAAATGGCGGCACAAATGAGTGAATATTCTATGGTGCAGGGGAAAAGGAACGGTGACGCGTCCTGTACGAGTGTGCCAATTATATTGGTTCGGCGACACTCGAATATTTGGTAGGGTCCTTTGAGGCCCCGCGGTAAGCGTAAGTGTGCCGTCGGATCGGATGCGATGACCGTCGGTGAGACGGCATGTCCCCGCGAATGACCCGGAATGCGATGTGAGATGCGTAGAGTGCGATTTTCGGGATTGTAGAAAGTAAGAATTTCATGTTTCGTCTCCTGTATGAGCACGTTCAGCCAGACGGCCAAATTGGTGCCAATCATATGCATGAGACCGAAGCGTGCGATTATCTTGTAGCGATATACCTTGATTTGCTGTAAGAAAGAGATATCAATTGTAAAATAAGATAGGAATATTTTGGTCTCATTATCAAGTTGGTTTGCTGTAAAAAAATAAACGAATACATGGCGTACAATTTTTTTCGATGCAGTTCTTAATAGTCTTCGCATCCACTGGTCAATCCTGGATTTTTCAGCAAGAAGCAGATTTTTCTGTTTTCCAGGATTGCTGTACCTAAAAGTAGATGCCCTAAATAGCACCTCGACAATGGGTATCGCTTGGTTCTAACCCGATACGTGGTTCAAGGAAGACCTGTAACCAATTCAAGATTTCTTACAATAGATAACTTCCGGCCGCGGTAATAATTGGACTTGCTCCCTTCGCTAGTTAAGGTTAGGTTAGGCGGCAGTCCCAGAAGTAAGAGACTCGCCTGCATAATTAAGAGATTGTCCTTTTTAATACCCCATTTTGAACTGAACCCACTACTTAATCGATAAAACATTTCGATCCCATTATGTAATTACAAATCCGGCTAATTGCAATGCCCCAGAACCTTTCAGGGATATTAAGGACCTGCGAGGCAAAGTATTTCAACATTATTCTCGCGAACGCTGGGGACTTAAGCAGGTAGTGCTGAGATGATTGTACCTCCTCATCTTCCAGGCAATTGCGACACACGGGACCAGGCAATATTTTTAGATTTTCTGTCGAGTACCGATTGGAAGGTAAACCGGTAAACCCTCATCAAGGGTGACAGCTGTAGGTTTGTAAGTGTGAGGCGTGCCCTCTTCTGCCACCGTTCCTTACTCGTCCAGGATGACCTTACAATCGCGCTTAAACTGGTTTTCGACCAACCGATGCACAGTTCCCCGTAATGTCGCTGTGACCTGGAACCCAAATGAGCCCAATACAGAAGTATTCAGACGCAACTGAGAGAGAGAGCAGGGAGGTAAGCCTAATTATCATCGCACTCCTGAGCAGTGAATCCACTGCCTTCTGAAATGCACTTCTGCCACTTTTTCCTGAAACACACTACAGCAGTCCGGAAGCCTGTACTTATGGTTAATGGCAAGCTCTCGACAGAAGACCACACCATCAACCCTGCCGTCCAGTAAAGAAGTTCACTGCGCTCCACAAAATCCTCTCTTTAGGAAACACGTGCAGAGAAGAAGCTCCTAGGAGATATTTCCCTGCTCTAATAAGTGGTCTAATCTAGCCTTCTCATAATTTCATATTCCACAAGTCAATTTAAATTAATTTAAAAAAAGTTATAATTGTTGGTTAAACAAACGAAAAAATGCCTGTACTCACCTCATTATTCAGGAATATAAAATACATTTGTATGAAAATGAAAGCCATTCGCGTCGCTGGTGTCAATGCCAACAGCACATTGTGGCACTTAGTGTCTGGATTCAGCTCGAAATATTGCCCGAATTCCAAGCCAGAATAAATCATGCTACCAATGCCAAAAGCTGTAAAAGACAAAAGGATATAAGAAATAAATAGAAAGTAAAGGATAACAGCGAGATAATAAAAAATTAGGCATGAATCAGTAAGCGTAACAGCTTCAAATGGCGTCATTAACCAAATTACGACGTCAATTAGGCAGACAAATTTAAAGCAAGCAAATGGCAGCCAGCTGCTACAAACGAATGTTTTGTGATGGCGCTAACGAACTGTTGAAAGGACAATAACAGCCGCCTTTGATGGGTTACTCCCGGAATATTGACGGAAAATCAAGGTATCCTTTTTCGCGCAACAAAAATCAATAAACAAAAACCGAGCAGATCAGAAATTATTTACAGCTAAAGTGAGAAAAACCGAAAGCAGTTCCAACCAGCGGAAGCTGTACAGACGACTGAGCGGAGCGCAATCAACTACACTTTTCAATCAAAAAATTCACCGGACTTTAAACTGTTTAAAGATGTGAAAAAAAGATGATTTTTAGCGCAAGACATTTCATGCATGTAATCCACTATTGATTGGTTCTCAAAAAAAAAACTTTATGTTCGCCAGAGCATCCTTTATCCTTCTGAAATGGTTCGTTTTGGCCAAAAAAGATAAAGTCATAAAAAGAAATTGCGCTTATTTGAGTGGTTTTTCATTGGCTCAGTATATTTGTAAGTAACTACTATATGTATAACTATTTATATTAGGGCGACTCAACAAAAAAAAATTCGAGTTTTCATCGGAATTATATATTTTATTATAAAGGTATTTTAAAACTTCCGCCAAAATATTGCGGAAAAATTTTAAGATTTACGTATTTCATTATTTTGACTCTTTTGATAAAATTAAAAAAAAAATAAATAAATAAATAAAAATGGTGTGCACACTTTTTAAGCTTAAACTCGTCTATAATCTAAGCAGATTTTTAGAAAAAAAAATTTAAAACTATTTTTTTTTTATAAAAACAAACTCGACGTTGGAAGATTTTAATATTTTCCGAAATAAGTTTATTGGCGAAAGTCTTAAAATACGCGTATAATATATTACATAGGCCAACAAAAACGAAAAAAAAATTGGTTCGCCAAATGTGAAAACTGTTGATAGACTTAGCTGATTACATGTCCGTAAGTGGAAACTTCACATCTGCTCCAGTTTTTGAGAAAAACGAGGTCAAAGTATCAAAAAATTGCGTTTTTTGCAATATTTTTGAAGCTCTAGCAAAGAAAACTAAAGGTGATAGAACCTTCCACTTCGGCCTAAGTTAAAGCTAGAACTCTCGATCTGCAAACACAGCTTTAACATTTGCCGCAACAAAATCTGATAAATTTTTGTATGTAGAGTGATGCACCCTAATGTAAATACATACTTGCGTAAGTGCATACTTGTACGTTTGTATTACATTGGGTACGAGTAAGTGGCCATTTTACATTTTCAATTGTTTTTATAGCTCCCTAGGGAAATGTAACTTCAACCAAAGAGTACGAGTATGTGAAAGGCAGACTGGAGTCGAAGCTGCATAGAAATAATACTCAGTACAATGCTAAGCAGCTTGTGGTCGATACACTATTCATTGGAATATATGGAAATAAAAAAAAACTACTTGAATGTGATAAAATAATTTAAAAACTCTGCACTTCCTCTTTAAAATAAATAAAAAAATGTATGGTACATATCGTCAACTAAGGGTGAAAAGTGCCAAGTCCATTTTGTGAAATTATTCAGGAGAGAGGAAAAATCGATGTAGTTTCGTATTACCTGCAATTCTGCATCAAAAACAAAATTTTTAAAAAAACAAAATTGACTGAACCTTTTCAGGAGGATAAATTATAAAAACAATTTTAACTTATTTTCACGAACTCTCCTCTGCACTTCATCCCCTCATATCAATCGAAAAATGCTACTTGCCCAACGATTAGTGGGGGCTGTCGAGATAGGATCTCTTAGAGTGAAGATATGTAAGTGGTTGCGTGAAAAGGTTAATAAGTAAGCGTATTAATGCTAGAGGTTATAAATATCACACATAAGCCACATATTGCTTTAACAAAACAGTTCAATCCCAACAGTTTAATTAATCGCGTTTTCCAATAGATGCATTACATAAAAATCGTTACACTACCAAAGTTACCTTCGAAAGAGATTTAGAAATTTTCGCTAAACAAATGCGCTAAGAACAACCAACAACGCCGCTTTGGCACTTTTTTTATTTATGACCCATTTTTCGTTATAGAATTAAGCCAGCAGAGTGAGGGAACAGCGCGTAAGTGAATCTGTCCGCTGTTCTCGTCCCCTCTTTCGGTACTTTCAACACATTCAGGTCCCGGAACGCAGTATGCCTTTATGGCTCTCTATTTATTTCTTGCGGTATCTCTTCCGCTTTCCTTATGGAAAAAATTTTAGGTCCAGATCGATGGCGGATTATGGACAACACCGTTACATCGATACCTTATATACATAATCGAAGTGTCGACGATTCGAGATCTTCACTGTTTATATCTACCTACACAGCTTCGAATTCAAAGTATTTTTGCAAAGCAATTTCTAAATTTTTATTTTTTTCATGATATTTTTTCTGAAACATATGCATGTCGATGTTTTTATCTCAAGGAGACAATTTAGTTTTTTTTTTCGCTTCAAAGGTCATTGACTTTTAGTACATATCTATATATATAATCTATATATATAATACGCGAAGGGATTTTTTGTCCAGGACATCAAGATATGCACCGTTCGCTCGATTTTCATATATAGGGTGTCAAATAAAAGCGCTTGGCCTGTAGATGTGCAAACTAGTTTTGTTATTGCGAAAAGCTTAAAACTACATTTGAAGTGGGTTGCCACCTGTTGAAAAAGTCGAATTTAATTAACTTATACGATAATTATTTCAAATACGGATGACAATCGCAGAAATTGTTGTGAAATCTTTATTTTGAATACTAGAAATATTTTTGAGGTGGTTGAAGAGGGTTGCCACCCGTCTAAAAAGTTAAGTGAAAATTATTTTAAAAGCCAAATGAGTAACTAAAATATGGATATTAGTCGAAATGGGTTTGAAAAGGCTTCTGGGTTCTGAGGTATATTCAGGGGGTTGCCACATGTTTGAAAAATCAGATTAAACTTAGTTCATCAGTTTTTTTTTTAATATTATTCACCATGCAAGGCAAAGAAATTTATTAATGTTTTAGCATGAAAATACTTTTTATGAGGGTTGCCGCCTGTTTGATAAGTCGAATTTGATTAACATATATACAAACTGTATGAAATATTAAAATACGGCTGTTAAAATTTGTTTTGTTAAGAAATCATTAGAAGGAAAAATTATAATATTGTAAAAGGGTTGCCACATGTTTAAAAAGTTACATTTAAATTATTCTGTAAATTAGATGAATTATCAAGAGATGGATATCAATCGAAATGGTTTTGAAAAGACTTTATATTTGACCTTTATTTAGCAGGGGTGCCACGTGTTTGAAAAATCAAATTCAAATGAATTCATCAAGAGAAAATGATTGAAAAAGATTTTAGCTTGAAAATACCTTTGAAAAGGATTTCCACCTGTTTGTATAGTCAAGTTTTATGAAATGAAATTTCGAATAAACAAATAAATATCTTTTATTAGGCTTGCCACCTTTTCGAAAAGTCATGCTGATCTAACTAAGTATATGTGTACGTATATTATACGAGAGGGAATTTTTTGTGAAGGTCATTCGATTTGCACCGTTCTCTCCAATTTCAACTATGAGATGTGGAATAAAGCCTGTATAAATGGGTTCAGATTTTTATTTTTTGAAGTTGGAACTTTTTTATCGGTGCACGGTGATTTGAAAACCACAAAACAAAATTTGGCAAATAATAAAATACTACAAATGAGTGATGCTTCCTTAAAAATTAATATGTCTTTCCTACATCATTGAGCGTACATAATCTAATCTAATCATTGGTATCTCAAAATTGTTCCTACAAACTGAGAATTGAAATATAAGCATCCTGCCAAACTCAAAATAGATTCCAACTTATATTTTTCAAAGTGAGTACCTACTACGAGTACATAATTTATGTAGCGGAAAATATGCTCCCTTAAGATGCTCACTTTACTTTTACTACTGCGTGAGCAAAGTGTGTTAAATATACGAAATTCGGTTCGGTGCTGACTTGTCTCAGTTTTGCGGGCCCATAAAAAAGCCACTTACAGTG